GTTTACTATATTACAACAACATGTACCGTTCATACTTTTGGCAAACTGATAAATTCATCAAAAATTTAAATGTGATAGTGTTAGTAAATGGGGGGTATGTGCTTCTGACCTGTCATTTGAATTGTCTCTTACTGTTGATTTCATTACTTGATTACAATAATGGACAGCAAAGAAAAGCAATTTTGTAGCCTCATACATTGTAGTATAAACCACAACCAGTTGAACATAACACATCACCACAGTTCATCACAGGGTTTCCATTTCAAACCCTGTGCGTGCTATTTATTTAACCCGGTGATTGCACTGGTGGGGTCAACTTCAAGGAGCTGTCAAGAACACAACATTCCTTAGCACTGAAAAGTTTCTTCCAAGGAACAGCAAGGCCCAGTTTCTTAGTGCCATTAAATTTGTAATGGGCCTTATTCACGAGTCGGCCATATTGGATTGAGAGTGAGGTAAAATCTTGATTTTTGAAACTTGTGTAGAGAAATGAAAGCTACTTAATTACTAATTAATTCCAGTCTACTTCAATGAATAATTTCAAATTTGTAATTAAATGTTCCCTATTGTTTAAAGCCAGATTTTTAAAAACATGACAGTGAAATAAGGCTGCATTATGCCTGCATAAATAGTCTGGCACCATCGCAACAGTTAACAATTAATGAAATACACTCAGGGAACTCGACAAAAACGGCCAACTTGTGAATAAGGCGCATTGTATTAGCATCAGTTACTCATGCTCGGATGCAATTGCCAGAGTGATTTTTACTCTTAAAAACTACTGGACTGAAACTTTGATACTTTTTATGTACATGCATCATGTACAATGTAAGCTACCCAAAGTGCCAGTAACTTGTATAATATCAATTTGCACAATGTCAAAAAAAATGTGCAAATTGAAACTGTTAGTCTGAAGTACATGTAGACTTTAAAAGATCATAAAACACACAGCCTCACAGAAACAATCATCACTACCGGTATTTCGGCATCAGTTGACCATAGAAAAGATGAACGTCAAATGCATTGTTGTTTGGAAAATTTGTTGGATAGTCTAGAAATAATTTGAAACGGAAACGTAGTCTACAATGTATGTGGGCTCAACAACATCAGCTGTACTATTGTGGAGTGGAATGTGGTTGGGTCGGGGAGGATACAAATTAAATTGTAATCTGCAGAAAAACATGTCGTCATGGTGTCATTTACATGTTATGAATATTCATTGTATGTAAAGGCCAAAGTGTAAAGGTTTTTTAAAAAATACAAAAAAAATCTCACATTTTATATTTCTAAAGCTGCCAGACTTCAAAAATTTGATTTCTTTGAATGAGTAAATTATTTTAGGTCTTAAAAATGAAGTACATTGTACAGTGTTCTTTTATGTTTTCCATTTAATTGTTGCATACATCTTTGATAGATGGAAAAAAAATAAAAAGTATTGTCATCAAAATGTACAGTGTACATAATGTACAAATCAAAGTCATATATGACACATGCACCACTATTCTTGGCCTAATGTAAACTCACACCAAATCCAGCCTTGCATTATCACTTATATCTGCTGGCATAACAAACACTTCAGGCCTGTAATTTCCGCTGATGAAATAAATCCTAAATGTTTGTCTTTGTTTTTCTTTACTTTGCTCGGGGTCAAAAGTATCAGAACAAAAGAGCAGGGCAAATTTACTTGAGGAAAGAGTGTTGCTTGTGTGCATAAGTACTGTTTAAACCATCAGCATTTAAACAGGGTACCAGGAATTTTTTATTTACTTTATTTTTTTATTTTTTTAAAAAAGTTTTCCTTTGGTAGACGAAGTCCTTCAAGATTTGTAGTGTTTGTTCGTAATGATTTTGGTGAGGAATTGGATACTCTTAACGTTTTTTGAAGAACAGTGTGTTTGTCGTCTCAAGGAAATACAGGGTGAGTAAAAAAAAAACGAAACCCAGATGTTGGGACCATTGTTTTAGGGAGGTGCTGCATGTAGCATTTTCAAAATGTAGGATATGAAAGCCCAATTCATAAGCTTTCTTTTTGTACAAGAATCATTCAAATCACTCATGTACTTTTCAAGTTTTGGAATTTTAAACACACAACCACCGTTTTAAGGTTCTGTCCACGGATCACAAAAAAGTTCAGTGTTCTTTCAGCAAAAGAAATCAGATAGGGATGTGTGTGAATTCTTTTTGTTTTGCTGAAAGAACGCACACCTTTTTTGTGATCCGTGGACAGAACCTTAAAACAGTGGTTGTGTTTAAAATTCCGTAACTTGAAAAGTGCATAAGTGATTTGAATGATTCTTGCATTGAAAGAAAGCTTATGAATTTGGCTTTTACATGTATATCCTATATTTTGAAAGTGCTTCACATATGCAGAACTTCAATAAAACAATAGTCCCGACATTTAGGTTTCGCTTTTTTTTGACTCGCCCTGTATAGCAAAGCATTGGAATAGTTAGTGTTTTGTTCTGTATAGCTCCCTTTGGTCACATGATATGCCAGTACCTCTGTGATTTGCCACTCTTTAGTGACAGATCAATGCTATTGATTATTTGTAAAACAAAACAAAAAGTAGTCAAATTTGTAACAAGTTTTTGGTTACCCTAAGTTCACCTGTAAGTTCACATTTCTATGCTGGCCTGAACCCAAAATCCAGTACTTTGCTTCTTGTGTCTGGGAGCGAAACCATTAAACAGGTAAATCTGTCTACAATTTAGGACCTGGATCTCTTCAATTGACTCCACAGGAACTGTTAATCAAGCACCTTCATCCCATAATCAATCTCTCTTCAATTGCCCGTGAATTCTAACCCTTTCCCCACTTTCTCACATCTTGAAGGAGGAGGTGTGCATATTTCTTTCGTCGGTGCAGCAAACACTTTGCCAATTTACTGTGGGAATTTGTAGGAGTGCTGGAAATGGCTTTCTCAGTTAGATTTGAAGCTTGCACTTTTAACTAGCAGGATATCCAGCCAAAATGGCCTAGCTGGTTAGGGTTAATAATTTCCCAGAGCTGCTAACATACATTGTACATCTACATGTATAAGCACAAAATGTTCCATGTATATTGCTCGTGAACAGTTCCTCAACTGATTTTAAAGTAGAGTATAGCATTTGCAGCTATCCAAAAAGTAACTGATGAAATTATTGTTGAAAAGTATACTTGGTTCAAAACTCCCTGTGAAATTATTCTTTCTGGCATGCTGACATTTTTAAGAAAACAAACATTTTGAAGAAAAGAAGGTCATTCCCAAGATGCGTCTAAAGACACATTTTTTAGAAATTTCCATTAGTAGTTCATTGTTAATTCGGCGGCGAAGCCGTGAAAGGGTGCGCACAAGCATTGACACGACACACACACGCGCGCGCGCGGGGTTGCACACATGCGCCGTCTGTTCAGTGCTTGACATCGCATTAGCTGCAATCGGCTGAATGAGACCCATAACGTGTCCCGGATGCTGATTTCCGCAATTCAAAATTCATAACATCCCGCGGCGCAATTCAAAACATGACTTGGCAACTTTTGAATTGAAATCAAAATCCTAGAATATTCTTTTCTCAGAATGTACAGCATTCACAGAGCTAAAACTTCACCAGGTTAATTGTCAAGCAACCTTCTTTAGATTTTGAGCACTTTTGTTGCATCAAACACAAAAATGCACAATTGACAAATGATATATACTCTACCTTTAATTATTGCTTAATAGTTCTATGAACTTGAACAACAATTTCTTTTAGCAATTCCGTGAAATTAAGCAAATATTTCTGCAGAGCACCTCCAAAACAATTGGCTCACCTGTATTCTTAACAAGCAACATGTATGTGAACAATTCAACATACCCTATGCCGGCACTGATATTTCCTAGAATTCTCAAATCCGCACCCCCAATGGAACTGCGTCTTTTTTGTCCACAATCTTGGAAACCTTTTCTGATTCTCAGATATAGTCCTAACAGAAATTCAAAATATCTGAATAATTGAAATTCAAAGTATCTTCTGGGGGTTGATTTTGGGATATACTGTAGATACATAATACACTGTTTATTGATGGCAAATGCCGGGAAGAACCGATACAATATGTATGAAGTGATGTACCATGATGAGAGTTTCACGTTCTGAAGTGTTTTTTTTTTTTTTTTTTCAACACAGTTTTGTGCATTCGCAGGGTATACAGGTATCACTCATAAGCTGGTACTTAAGCCATGTTCATTTTTGCTCAGTGTTTTCATGTCATTGTCAGTTTACCCGTAATAGCCCTCTAAATTTAAGACTGTGCCCTCTTTCCTAGACATCCCTATCACTTTTCAACATCACCAGCTACAAAAAAATTACATGTAGTGAGTCCAATAACATAAAAGTGGATTTTCCTTCTTACAGGAACGGGGACCTAAACTACACTATTACCAAATATTCCTAAATAAGTTTGTAATTTCTTTACTCAACAAGTTTGTTGTTCACTTCTTAAATTGAGTTCGCTTATATGCTCATCTTGAGAAATGCCAGTTGATAAGATATGAGGAAAGTGTATAGCGCCCTCTTTTGTTAATACTTGCTGCATAGTTAGAAAATGCAAGCTAAATGATTGGTAGAAAGAAAGGGCTCAGAAAAACTACATATGCCCCACTGTACAAAAGTTGCCACACCCAATATGGATTTAATGTGCAATTAAGGTGTCTGGGTGTAGCAATTCATTATTTTCTTCAATGGATAAGATCATTTATAGACTACATTGATGAATTTGTTTTTGATGTAAATTGTAAATTAGGCTGTGAATATTAGGTTAGGAAATAAAATATTTTATTCCTTACAAGTTGAAATGAGCAAAAAGTCCACTTTTTGAAAATGTTTCTCAGCAAGCACATTAAGAATTGTAAGCTGATAAAGATTTGTTTAATGGTTCTGGTGTAGAAACACCAGATATAAAAGTTACTTTTTCAAAATATTAACATGCAGGATGTGGCAAGCTTTTTCATGAATCACATGGTAAATGTGTGATTTATGTTTATTTATTTTTTTCTTGTTCTTCAGTGATCCAATGAGGGAAACAAAATGATGACAACAGATTCGTCCATGGACAGACACATTCAGCAGACTACTGAGCGTTTGATTTGCATAAAGCAGGTGAGGTCATGAATAACTTTGCATTTTAATTAGAAACCATTAACTTGAGACTAACAGTTGATAAAAAATTGACACAGGATATCAGAAAATGTGTAATCACTTGACAAAATTGCGTATGTACTTACATTTATCGTAATTTTTTGTTGTAAATATTTTTCATTTATTTCTCGTAGTATTTGTTAGGGAAACAAAGGCCAATTATTGTATTTATATAATTTCTGAAAAGGCAAACAAATTCAAATTTCGATATAAAGTAGGCTCCCATCATGTGTTTAAAGTTGCTCTGCCTTGCTATTTGAAGAAAAAAAACATTGAGCAAAATCAAACAAACAAAACACACTCCCTAAATAAAAAAGAACGATACCACAAAAAAGGATACAAACAAATTTCTTAATTGCTCTGCTTTCAAAATAGTCTTCTGGATTATTTTTCCAAACAAAAATAAAACAAATTGAACACCCCCCCCCCCCCCCCCCCCGATATGGACACAAACACATTTTTCCGGAATGCTCAACTCACGTTTACAGAGACAGTGGAGTAGTGAGCTCCAAAATGAAACGCACAAGGCTGGCGCGAGATGAAGACAATGAATTATTGAAACGACCGGCATACGTACCGGGGCCTGATCATGTAATCAATAAATGAGATTGCCTGATAATGCTAAAGTTGAGCAGCCGTGCATGATCTAACCCCTTCACATCCATGATTTTTGCGTATTTCATCACGGCAACGAAAACGTACGTGCTGTATTCTTTATCATTATTTTTTTTGGCTAATCATTCCATTGCCAAATTGTCTTGCAGGAGAAATATATGGCAGCGCCAATATTGGCCTGTTTGCTAACACTTGTATTCATGCAGTCTGCCGGCCGCCGGGTACCGGTTGACAGTTTTTTTTGTTTTGTTTCGTAGCCAGGGAGATGCGTTGTAAACTCTAAGGTTTCCTTTTTCTCTAGAATTCTCATTGATTTTTTTTTTATTCTCGGTGAGAATTGATTTTGATGAAGCTGAACAAAAAATTAAACGAGATGTGGCTTCAGTAGCGCAATTCCATGATGTTGACGATTCATGACTTTCAAAACGGCGCCCTTTCAATTGAAGATAATGTAACAAGTGAAATTCTATTACCGTACAATGTATATAGTATTGTCATCATATTTTTTTTATTTACAAACTAATACAGTTACATGAGTCATAGATTTGAAGTTAATATATACATACATGTAAATTTATTCATTTATTAATATTATTCCCATTCCCATTAATCATGCATGTATTATTCACGACTAACCAAACTACTAGCTACCTACAGGAAACCAGTCATACAACCAATAAACTAAACTAATCAGCTAAATAAGCTACCAGTAACTAATTCTCTTCCACAGAACTTGGATGAACAAAAGCACCCAAAATATGAAATCGTAGCCCATCTGCTGAAAATTTCTTATGGGCCTGTTTATCAGTGTAAACAGCAATCATGTGCCATAAGATTGAGGCGTCGGAAGTGAGCATATTTACGACAGTTCCAAGTGCTGTAACTAAATAATAGAGCCGCCTCATCTGAAGCGCGTCATCAATTTATTATGATCCTCTGCTGTTATTATTCACCTCCTCCTCTCTTTGCAATGAGCCGATTGCCAGAACGGCGTACAAGGTAACGTTTTAGAATCGTGTAAATTAGCATTTGGCCGCCGGGCCACTGTGTCATCTTCCAGTGTTGCAGCATGACGCTCTAGGAATTGACGTGTTCCAAATCACGTAAACACCAAAAACCCACACCCCTAAACGACAACCAGCTTGTGAGCAACATTCTTCAGCTTTCTGTCCATATTAACATTTATAATTGCAGTAGTTTTTATCACACTACCGTACATGCACCAGCTAATACAACATATACACTTAATCATGGCATTACCTCGCGTACTGTACATGTACATGTACATGAATGCAGTGTTATTAAAAGAATGGCTAACAGAAGCTGGTAGATGTGTGCTTGTGAAGTAGCCACCTTAAAGGGAATATACAACATTTGCAAACATCAAAAAACAAAACTACCCATTTTTTTACGAAATACCTTACTAGGAAGTTGGTAAATGACAGTCTAAAGCATCCTGTAAAATTGTGGCACCTGGTGTGAAGTCATTTGCAGGAAAATGATATTTTTGTATACATTTCCAACGGTGGCCGGCCGACCACCGTTGGAAAAACCTAACTATTTTTCAACTACTGCTCCAAATTTACCATTTTTTTTTCGGTCCAAATTTTGTTTGCTATTGGTTACATGTTCATGAATGGGTGCAGGCCAGTTAGACTGGTTCCATTACCTTACAATTTTCCGGCATCTATAAATTGATCCATTTCATCTTTAGTGGAGTCAGGGAACCAGACTACTTGAACAATTTTGTTTTTCTTGGTTTTTCCAGCATTTTCGAACACAGAACTTCAAACATGTCAGTGTAACAATATTTTATCTATTATACTAATCCCTCAAATAGTTCATTTCTGAAAATTACAGCAAAAGCCAATGATGTACATTCCCTTTAAGTAAATACAATCACACATTACTCAATGTGGCAAAGAAACACTTGCCATTTATGAAACGTGTTTATCTATATTTTTATCCAATGTTTTTAACATTAATCAGTTAATTTTCTTCACATTTATAAACAACACATGTCTTTAGTTTGCTGTTGTGACATTAAATTTTTTTTGCCAAAGTTTTTTTTATATTAAAACTCGGGTGAAATTACATGTAATTGTAAATTGTAAAGAAAACCAATGAACATTTGATCTAACTAAATTTGAAGAAGGAAGTTAGAGAATAGCTTTAAATTTAGTCCTACATAAATATAAAAAGTTCTAATTTTCCTCTGCACCTTGAAAAGTGGGAAAGCATTACCCCTAAAAAAATGTAAATAAAATTCACGCTTTACTCCCTCAAAATTCTGCATTTAAAACCTTTTTTTGTGCAAACATAACCATTCCACCCACCTTAAAAAAAAAAGAGAGAATGAAATTGATGGAGTTGTCAGACAAAGCTTTGGAAAATATTTCCACTGCAAATTGTCGAGAAGTGTATGCGGAGAGCGCATTAAGGTTTTTTTCTTTCCCCCCCCCCCCAAGGGAACGTCTTATGAATTATTTGATTAGCCGTGCAAGCTTAATGGTTGGCCAGGCAGGCAGGCAATCTGTGAGCGTCACACAGATATCATATAAAGACACAAAGAGGACAGATTGAGGCAGCAAAATTCACTGGCCAGGCATTCTAAGGTCAAAACATCAAGTGCCTTACGAAAGGGTTGTGAATAATTTAAAGCCACAAGATGGCCGAGCTATCAGAATCCCTATTTCATAGCTGTGTTTAAAGTTGCTATCCCCGTGCTCCCCAACGAATTTGATTATTTTTTTTTTCAATTTGTGTGTTACTCAACCCCCCCCCCCAGATAAACTCCTTTTTTTTTCAAAATTGTGCTTTTGCAACTCTCTAAAAAATTTCCTCTCTTTTCCTGAAATATTTTTTCTCCACAAATATATAACACATTCTCACTCTAATTCAAGAAACAATTTTTAAAACATGCCCCAAATTTGAACAATTTTCTGAAAATCAGGTCCCTGTAAATTTTTTTTTTTTCCTGCAAACCAACCCCCCCCCCCCCCCCCCCAAAATGGAAAATCATTAAAAACCAAAAACAGAAAACCCTACAAGAAGTGTGCCTGGATTGCCATTCCCAAGTATGAGAGTTATAATCAAATCCTTACAATTCATCACAGCTTACCTGCCAGTATCCAGACAGCCAACAAGTTTTTCAAATGAACTTTATTTCTTTAGTGCTCAAAGTATGTTTTTACAATCTCCAATTTGTAGATGAAGTAAACTTAAGGGTAGCGTCCATCATTTGTACTTTGTGCATTTTGTTAGTTTGAAGCAACAAAAGTGCTCAAAATCTAAAGAAAGGTGCTGAACAACAAACCTGGTGAGGTTTCAGCTCAGTGAATGCTGTATATTCCGAGAAAACACTATTCTAGGATCTCGATTTCAAATCAAAAGTTGCCGAGTCATGTTTTGAATTGGGCCTGAATTCAGCGTCCGAGACACGTTCTCACTGAGTCGATTGCAGCTACCAGTACGCAATGTTGCGCACTGAACCAACTAAGTATAGCAACCGGGGCGCATGTGCATCGTGTCAACGCTTGCGCGCGCTTCGCTGAATAAAAAACGAACTACCAATTGAAATTTCCAATGATGGGTTAAGACGCACGGTTGGAAAGGCCTACTTTCATTGATTTCTTCAAAATGACAGCTTGCCAAAAAGAATAATTTCACAGGGAGTTTAGTCCCATTACTATCTATAAACTAAGTATGTTTTGCAACAATTATTACGTCAGTTACATTTTGGATAGCTGCAGATGATGGACTGTAGCTTTAAGTACGGGAATCAGGTAAGCAATGAAAAAACACACATGTGAGTACCCGGGTACCCGTTACAGAAACCCATGCAACCCCAAAATTTTAATCTTGGAAGTTGCTGTTCAGATTGTTTGTAAAGGTCCGCACGTTAATACTACCACATCGGTCCATCAATGCAGACTGACTTCTGTTTGCAGTAAGCTCTAGGGGCCTATAGCTTTAATTTACGGTTAAAGTTGCATTTTCGCAAGCATCATAAACGTAAATCTGTTTTGTTTTTCCATGTAGCCTGGTTTTAATTCCGAACAAATGTAATTCAAAACCTTTCTTTTTTATTGTCTGAGAAATTGCTAAGTAATAAGTGAATTTGGTTACGGGTGCTCGATTCTATATTCTGGAACCGGTTTGAGACATTAGCGGTCGGGTCCTTGGGTGCCCGGTTCGGATGCAAAGCCCTGGTAAAGTTACTGAAATCCTAAGTTGTAGACTTTCGTTAAAGGGACTATTGATACAACATTTGCAAACATCAAAAAACAAAACTACCAAATTATTATGACATACCTTACTGGACTGTTAGTGAATGACAGTCTAAAGCATCCCATGGCACCTGGTGTGCTGACATTTTCAAGAAAAGTGGTATTTTTGTATCAATTTCCAATGCTGCTCGACCAACCAGCGTTGGAAAAAAAACAGGCTGTTTTCAAATACTGCCCCCAATTTTACCATATTTAGTTAGTCTAAATTTTGTTTGCAATAGATCACACATCTCTGAGCTGGACAAGCCTTCTAGACTGGTTCCCTGACCTTACAATTCCCCAGTGTCTATAAATTGTTCCTTTTCAGTTTAAGTGGCGTCAGAGAACCAGACTACAAGAACATGGTTGTTTTTCTTGGTTTTTCCAGCATCTACAAAACAAAAACGCCAAACAATTCAGTGTAACTATATTTGGTACAAAATACTATCCCCCCATATCCATACATTTCTGAAAATTACAGCAAAGCCAATGTTGTATTCCCTTCAACAACCTACTGTAGTAGGGCTTATGTCTGTAACATGGCATTGTTAGAGCGCCCTCATTCTCTGAAAAAAAATATGGCTTATTCCTTTGTCATTGCTCATCCCCCGTTACTTGTGACGTGAATTGTGATATGAATTGACCACAACTCTAGCAATTCACTTTCATATGTGTACATATTTTTGTTTTTCGTTGCAATATTGTTAACCCACACTTGTTTTGCTTTCTCTTTTGCCCTTCCACTTCCAGCAACTTTCCCACCCTAGTACTTTCACGACTGCTGCTAGGGAGCTACTCGAGTGGTGTGCCGATCCCAGAGCTTTCCAACGATCATTCGAACCCGGCCTTATCGGTTGTTTAACGGTAAGCTGCATCATGTTTCATTCAATCAGAGATTTCTTGCCGTACTCAAGTGAAAGTCCAAATCCTAGAAAAGAAGTTTAGGTTCTGGACTATATGGGCCTTATGTACGACTTGGCCATTTTTGTCAAGTTCCCTGAATGTATTTCATTAATTATTAACTGTTGAATGGGATGGGCGTCAGACTATTTATGCAGGCATAATGCAGCCTTGTTTTACTGTTATTTTTTTTTTTATTCTGGCTTTAAACATTAGGACAGTAGAACGTCATGGTCCAGTGGTTAGGGTGTTTGACTCATGTACGAAGGTGCGTGGGTTCAAACCCTGCCAGAAACATGGTGTTTGTGCCCTTGGGCAAGACACTTAACTACAATTGCCTCTCTCCACCCAGGTGTATAAATGGGTACCTGTGAGGGTCGATAACTGTGAGGGCAATAACTCTAAAGCGCTTTGAGATTGTTGATACGATGGAAAGCACTATATAAGCACAATTATTATTAGGGAATGTTTAGGCCTAGTTACAACTTTTAAATTATTCATTGAAGCAGACTGGAATTAATTAATAATTTCTCGTCACAAGTTCCAAAAATTCAGATTTTACCTCACTTTCAATTCAATATGGCCGACTCGTGCATAAAGGCTCATCTAGATTTATCACGGAAAAAGCCACTGTAGTGGGGTAGAACATTGCTCGCACGCATGGTACACATGTTCTTCAAATTGTTCAAGGCGAGCCATTATACATTTTGGTATCCCTATTTTGTCAAAGGTGCACAAGGACAGATCCAGAATCAATCTTATTTGAGAGGAGGGGGGGGGGGAGCAAGAGGGCTTGAGTGTTATTTTGTTCAAAAGGGGGAAGGGGATAGCATTGTGCCTTATTTCCACATCGTAATATTACATTGTAAAACTAAAAGGTATGTACTGGTATGTGTGTTTGACCATGGTTCTTTTTAGTTTTCATTTTTGTCCCGCTTCTCTTTCTAAGAGAAGTAAGTTGTCAAAGCTTTTTTTTAATGCAGCCTCACAAGATTGGCAGGGGTACATAATTTAATATTGAAGTACAAACAGGCGTTAGACCTGCAGGCTATTGATGTACCGTAAGTTCATATGCTCTACTTATAAGTGAGAAAATGTACATTCGTCCAATCTTTACGTTTTTAGATTTAACTTTGCTAAATTGCTTCATTAAATTTGACATCACTATTGATACAGCACCCTCAGTCAACGTATATTTCTGTTTTCTTCCGGTGATCCGCAAATGTTGCCATATGAGGAACAAGCTCAATAGTAAATATATACATTACCCGTCCACAACCCGGCTAAAAAAAAAAAAAAAGCAACCAGGAAAACCCAAAATAGATTTATTTCAATAAAACCCTCGGATGTTTATTTCTAACCATAGAAACCCTCCCGCGGGAGTGCAATCGGTTCAGGAAACGGGTTGAGGATGTTTAATAGAAACAGGCAGCAATTACATGAAACTGTTTCCCTTTCTGGATAGGGGATCCCTGCGTGTAGGCCGCAGTTTTTGTTTTCAGGAAATTCCAAAACCCGGGAGGTGGATTCCGTCCGATTCCCCTTAGTCTGTTTCTGTGGACATTACTGCTTGGTTTCTGTTTTTCTGATCAAATGGTCCCCGCCACAATTTTTTCTTTTTTTAATAACCAGACTTCCACTGTTGTGGATCAATCGTTCTGACAATCGAGCTCCCCAAGTAGTGAATGTTTACCTGTGTCACTTTCGACTGGCTGTTTGGTTTCATTTGTGCAACTCTTTTAAAGGTATTACTATTATAAATACAACATATTTACTTTTGCTGTAATTTTCAGAAATGCATGGATTTGGGGGTTTTGTATTTTACAGCAAATGTTGTTACAATGATCTGTTTGTAAAGTTTGTGTTCATAAATGCTGGAAACACCAAGGGAAAAAATGTGTTTTGTAGACTGTTTCCCTGACCCTACTGCAGACAAAACGAGCGATTTATAGATGCTGGGAAATTGTCAGGTTAGGGAACCAGACTAAGTGGCTTGCGCCCGTTTACGGATATGTAACCAATTGCAAACAAAATGTGGACTAATTAAAGTTGGTAAGTTGGGGGCAGTATTTGAAGAAAATCAGTTTTTTCCAATTCTGCCAACCATCATTGGAAATTGATACAGAAATTCCATTTTTCTTGAAAATGACATCACACCAGGTGCCATGATTTAATTCACTGACAGGACTAACGTAATGTGTTTCATAATAATTTGGTAGGTTTTTTTTTTATATATATTTTTTGATGAACTCATTCTTGAGCTCATCGAATTGACTTCAAAGTCAAATCCGTACACCTTGCAAATACAGAATTTATTATCATTTGTCAATGCTGGCAAGCCGATAGGAATTGAAAAAGGAAAAGAAATCACTGGCACAAAGTGCCACAATCAATCGCATTGATATAAAGTATATCGGATGACGAGGGCTCTTAATTGGCAAAATTGATTGACTCATTGATATAGGCCTTGTTTGATTGGCTCATTGATGGGTGCGAGAATGTGATTAATCGTCCCATCAGGATCACGGTGGCGGTGTCAAAGAACGCGTTTAACGTGTTTGCCTTTCCCATAAAGCCCGGGGTGCCATGGCAACTCCTGTTTTTATTTTTGGTCGCGAGGTCAAAGATTTCTGATTAAGCGTGTGTATTTTGGCACATCGTACCTGTTTACTCAGTGTGTTTTTACATTGGGCTTATCGAAGATAATTTCCCACCACAAAAGAGTTTGAGATCAAGTGATAAAGTTTGGTGGACAAACTTCGTCGGTGGTAAATCAGCATGGATTTTTGTTACTGCTTTCTCTTCTTTTCTTTTTTTTGCTTTGTTTGGCTGAGTCTTGCAGTTTCTCTTGCAGTTCAATTGTAGTCAATGCTCAAATTGCTGAACAGTATGTTTTTTTTCTCCATTTTACAACCCTGTCAAACATTCAACTTTGTTAACCAGTTTGTGCCGGGATTAATCTGACATCGACCGGACTCAAATTGTTTTTAACAAACCTCAATGCCAAAAGGGTTCAGGCCGTCATCTGCGGGTAGCATACCCTGATATTTCCGGCCTCGCTTGCTGTGAGCAGGTCACAGACATTTCCGGCCTTGCTTGTTGCGTGTATCCGTCATCCGTTCCGAATACTACAAAACCTTTGCGTGTATACACGTCATCCGACGTGAACTGGTTAAATGTTGCTTCAATTTCCAAATTAACCCATGCATAAAAATTTTGTTTCTAAAAAGATCTCTAAAGCTACTGAATGTGACACGTACATGTACCAGATTGTCTACAGTTTGTTTGAAGCTATAGACCATGAACCTTGTCTTTGCTGTTTTAAAACTGTTAAATATCTCAATTCGTTCTACTGTAATCAAGTGGACAACTTTAAAAGCTCTAACCAGTTTTGCCTGCCCTTGTATTATCATACATGTATATTGTTATTTGCATAAAAGATCTGTTTCAAGTTGGTGTACATGGAAATTCCTTTGCCTTCTACTTGTTTGACCTGGGTTAGAATCCCCCCCGCCCCCCACCAGGCCAACAAGTTAATTACAAGTTGGTTTTCAGTGTCTCCCTGATGATTCTGTGGTATCAAGCTACAGTGTTCTATGCAGTTCTGAAGAACATTTGAGGTTTCGTATCCAGAAAAAATTGAATGAATTTAAAGATGTAAAACAATATTTGAACCCTTTCCTCTCTGCAGATTGTCAGCAGAGTTGCAGCTCAGAATGGGTATGATCTCGATCTAGGCTACCGACTTCTTGCCGTTTGCGCAGCACACAGGGACAAGTTTACTCCTAAGTCAGCTGGTAAGTACTTTAATAAATCGTTTTCTCTTTTTTTTTTTTTTTTTTTACTTTCTTATCCGAAGTTGGTAATTACTGTCAGATAGCTTTCAAGCAGGGGTTTCAAGTTTGCCTCCCTTTACTGAGGTTGGAGGAGGTGTTACATTGTGCTTGGAACCCCTATGTGCAAATTTATATTCCAAAAATTTATCATTTGGCTCATTGGTTGTCTTTGCCACGGGGAAACTTGGACATGGATGTTGTGGACCATCTCGGATTCAATGTACATGTACCGGTACATGTATCAAACGGCCTTGAGTCACTTCAGCAAGCAGCTTAGCAGGGACACTTTATTCCCCCCCCCCCCCCTCCCACCCGATACACTGATTGAGCGGGCAGCTTCTTCCTAAGTTCATTCAAGTTCAGAAGCACAGAAGGTAGTTTGAATGCCTGATTCATTACGCATTCTACCGCCGATCGTTCAAGTGTCACATTTACATTTGTTGAACCCGCACGAGTTGCCATCCGTTGCATCATTGAGAGTTGTATCATTGAAAACTGCAAATTGTCACATCTACAGTCTACGGTGTCTACCAAGTTTGATGTCTAGAGCTATTCATTCCATTAATTGTTATGAAAAAGTGATTGAAACTTAAATGGATTCCAAAGAAAGAAAAAATTTCCATGTTGACAATAATTTATATAGTTTCCTGATTGAGCCCTTTCCGTTCCATGTACTAGTACTTTATTGGATATCCCAGGTACAGGAACATGTGAAGGCCGGTGCATGCAGGTACTTAACGCAAAAATGAAAGCCAAGTAAATTTCATGACATCGACAGTTGAAGTTTGAATGTGACGTTCGCCGTCGCCCTAACAACATTGCTTCACACTGATGTTCCCGTGATGTACATGTACATGTACCGGTACATGACCGGCCTTTACTCAGAATATTTGGGATGTTCCTGGGATATTGTGGGTATGAGATTGAAAGGATTATGATAGTACATGTACATGTATGTGACAGCTTGTTGTCGGATTTCGCAGGGAATTTGTTAAAGATGTTTTTTTTTATCTACATGTATTTGTGACAGTGTTGTAGATGTACATGTAGCATAGAAATATGTGTGTAGAATAGTTTATTTGCACATAGCAAATTACAGTACATGTAAAATGTTTTTATAAATAATGTTTTTGTAAACGATTGCTATAACGATTCAAGTCTGTGACCTGTTTAGGTTTCATTTTTTCCACCGAATTTCAAATCATATGACAAAATGTTTGAGTACATGGGGACACATTTTTTGGGGGGAAAAAAAAACATTCTCTTGGTGTCTGTAAAGGGAGCCCTCTGTTGTCACAGACTGGCCAGTCAGACGTCTTTTCCCTATTCTAGGGAATCAATCGGTCACTGAGAGATACCCTTAGTATGGCATTACAACATCAAGTATGCCCAAATGATCACGTCCTTGCTACACCTCTGTCTGTGTTGTTTTCATGTTTGTAGCCAGATGTTTCTCCGCAAACGAATTATGTACCCTTTGAGGTACCAGGTATACAAAATAAGCTCACTTCACATTTTACAATGCATGTCCCCCTCCCTTTATCGTTGAAGCGGAAATTGATCCTGCTTATTCATATTCCCATTCCCCTTGTTTCAAATAATGAAACATACTCATTGCTATTGATTATTTTTTTATCGTCAATATCATTCATGCCGAATGCAGCACATTTGATAAATGTTTCTGTATTCAGTGAATGCAGCGCGGTTTAATCAAACCAATTTCCCATTCTTGCGCAGTTGCACGTTTTACATTCAACCTGGGCCAGCAAATTTGTCATTACGTTAATCAGTCATCCCTCTTCCAGCCACACAAAGAAAGCACCCCCCCCCCCACGTGGATAAACAACTCCATAAACACTTAGGCCGACGCCCACTTAATTAAGTACATGTGACTGTAGTTGTACTTGATAAGTAGCAGAGATACCGTAAGCAGCTTGAGATTCCCACAAGGCGACACACCTTTTTGACTGTTTAGCGTACCTGGCCAATGTAACGCCGGGGCCCCGACTCACCCAGGGACCTGATATCACCCTTTTTTCGCCGCGTCCATTTGCAGACCCAGATCCATGAAGCTGGATGGAATTAATTTGCCCGGGCCTTCAAATTGAGAAAACACTGCAGCGAAAAAGTCCGCTACCGTTCGCAGCTTCATTGCTGCTTTGTCGCTGGTGGCTGCTGGCCTGACTGGCTTGTGTGTAGATCTCTAGCTCAAGTGATTAGCATTCATCTTGGCTGCGGTTATCGTCGGCGATTGTTTGAGGTGGGGGATGAGTCGCTTGTTTGCGATTGAGGAGCATCTGCTGACATGAATAGAGAAAAGAAGGCGGAGGGATGAGAAGGGACTAAGAAATGATTAGAACGGATAGGTGGAATTTACCGCTTACAAGCAGGTGGATTTACACCGATTACTTTATTGCTATTGATTAAGATTGATCACATTGCGAAATCAATTTCAGATTTGTGTGCGCATGTGTAAGTGTCTAGTGATTTCGTCTTGTGATTAGCAGTCCCTGCCGTATTAATTTCGATTAATTGATTTCAAGCTGCTTGATACAAGTTTGTAATGCTGATTTTTATTTCTGGTCCGTTAGGCTTTTGCTCATTTGACCAGCTGAACTGACAAATGAATTTGGCTGAAGAAACAGTGTTGTGATTGATTCAGGGTAATTCTTGATGATCTTTTAATATTGTGTAGTATAGGCAATCGTTGGCAATTTGACAAGTAGTCATTGGGAATTTTATTGATCAGTTGAATTGAGCGACCAATTGAACATAATTTGTAGTGTCCCTTTGTCAAGCACCACTCAGCGCGTGGAATCATATGGTTGGACTACCTTGATTTTATTCCATTTTATAGCCTCGGTTACATGCATGTATGCTTTTAATAACTTATGCATATCCAACATGTCCAAAGACCAGAAGTAAGAAATAAAAATATATGTTTGAACTTCCATAAAAAACAACAAAGGAAGTACATGTAACACCTGGTACATTATTTTTATCTAATTTTACATAAAATACAGACTTCGAAAACTACACTTGATGCTTGTATAGTACATATGTACATGTGCCACATTTTGCTTGCAGTCTTCAAATTTGTCAACGTCTAGCTTTGTTCTGCAAGCCAGTCAGTCTCAAATTAAAATGTTCGAATGATCAGGAATGGGGCTCATTAACTCCTCACATTTGAATTGAGCAATTCCTTTACAAAAAAAGCAAGTTCAAATAACATCTTGGATAGATTTTAATGGGCACATTCAGATATTTATCCAGATAAATATTAAGAAGTAAGCGAGACGGCACTATTAAATCAAAACCATTGAATTAATTTGTATGATATGTATACGACCGTGTTGCTCCCTGAAGCTTATCAAAGTGTCTGCCTCCCAAAGTTAAGAAGAGAAACAAATAATAAAGAACAAGCCACTTGAGCTACATTAAAATTTCATGACCAGAATCTTTTCTCCCCAAACACCGTATCGCTTCCATGGTATCTGTTAAACTTGATTTACAGACACCCTCAAAACCTGACCAGCAAAACGAAAACCCTGACTTGCAGGCATTGGTTTTAAATATGCGCTCGCCTTAAACTGATTAGGCCTCCTCTTGCGTATACCCGGACAAATTCCAAGGTGAACAACACTTAATGATATTGCGTTTTTCCCCCCTCTTTTTTTTCCCGCAATTGGGATGCAGCACGCATTCTGCACTGCGCGCCTCATCCGAAGAATTATCCCCGCAAACGATGAAACCCGATCGTGGTCCCCTGTCCCGTCTCTCGACTGACTTGACATTATGATGCTTCAACCGGTTCCCTGCATGCTGATCAGATCCCCGGCCACGCATGATCAACTGGCCCCCATTCCAACCCCCCCCCCCCCTCCCCTCCGGCGTATCAATAATTCATAATTATGTAAGAGAGCGTCGCATATATATTACCACCTCTAATGGATCCTTTGGTGCCAGATTGCGCTCAACCAACAAGCAGAAAAAAAAATTCCCTCCTCGGCCTCTTCGTGTTTATCTTTCCCTTCAAGATTTTCATCTTCTACGACTTGTATCTAGAGGGGCTGGACATGACTGGCTTGAAAACTTATATCAGTCCCTACAATCTTGTATTCAAGACAGTTTCAAAGGGAGCATGCTTAGAATACGGGGACTCAGTACGTGCTCAGTTTTTGCTGGAAAAAAAATTAAACAAAATACAAATTTGGCTTTTCTGAATGCTTGAAAAAAAAATGAATAGTTTGTTGTTATATTGATAGGCCTACAGGACTACAGCATCTACTCATTCAAGATTACTGGATTAGGGAGCTCAGGTTTTGGTAAAAATACTAAGTACGCACAGAGGCTTTTGTAGAGCGCCCTCTTCATTTCATACATGTACGATCACTTGGTAGAGAAATTCTAAGAAACTGAAATTCAACGTACATTTACACGTACAGGGTGTCTAAAAAAAACACTCGAAGCCCTCTTTTTTCACAGCTTTTAAAAAAAATATGTTGCAAATATCGATAGACATTTAGAGAGTAAACTTCATTAGCTTTTCAACACGGAAAAATCTTTCCAATCAGGTAAATATTTATTGAGTTATGGCCAGTTGAATACCGCCTTTTCATTTTGTTCACAGCGACTGATATTTTGACTGTCGCAGTGAGAACACATAGGCCGAAACTTGCATTTGTGAAAAAGGCTACCAAGTAGAGAACAGAGACAGCAGCAGCACAGTAAACATCTAAGAAATTAACCAAACAGTCCTATGGTAGTCCTGAAAAGGACTGTTCGGTTAATTTCTTAAAGAATAAAAGAACATTGTTGCAAATATATTTTTTTAAAGAACCAAATAAAGAGAGAAAGAGGTAAAACATTAAAGAAAGGAAAACTACCCTCACCCTAAATCCATTACATTCCTAACAAAATTGAGACAGTGGACAGATTGAAAAATCGGCACTTATTTTGAATTGGCCATAACTCAATAAATATTTACCCGATTGGAAAGATGTTTTCGTTGATGACAAGCTAATGAATTATACTCTCCACATGTGTTTCGATATGTGCCAGATATTTTTTAAAGCTGTGAAAAGGAGGGGGCCTTGAGGATTCTTTTATAGACACCTTGTATGTGTTTGTACTTCTTAGAAATTGTTCATTTAACAGTCCCCAATCCTCAATTGTTCATATGATTTTCACACACCCTCTAGGCGTAAGGGTAAATGACTGAAACTTTGCTTCAAAGTTTTAGAAATCCATCACTTGAAAGATACAGGGGTTAGGCAATGACGGCACTTTAATATTAGAATAAGAATTGATTACCTTACAAGAATTTGCTGCATTACTAAACTTGGAGATGACATGTAAGTTTCCTGTGACAAAACATACATGCAGGTGGATTGTATCATGTGCCTCATTGAAAAGTGAATAATGTTTGTAATATCAATTAAGGAAAACCCCTATTTTGCAGGTAAAACTGGAAGATAGCACAGCAGGGAGAGCAACTCAAACTGGAAAAAGTCAAACTTTTAAGTTCATTGATGAATACA